GAATGGGGACCCAGGGGGGTCCAGGGCCGGTACAAAGCGACTTAGGGCAGAGCAGACGGTGACCCACGGAAGGCCCGTGAGGATGATGACTGAGGGTGGCCCAGGGTGGCCAAGAGCCGGTACTAAGCGGCCGAGGGCTGGTGTTTTCTGCTCACGGGTGAACCCCGTGGGTCCTTCTGCACCCGCTCATGTCAACACGTGGGCAGCGGTCTGACCATTCGGCTGATGGGCCTGCGCGCTAAGGCGGAATCCGGGCGGCGCTTGTGCGTGTCTGAAATTTCTCATGAAGCAAAACCCTGAAGGGCAGACGGCAGGATCGTTAGCCTTTCCGGGCTGTCCACACCGGATGACCGGTTTTCCTCCGGCGAGGAGTCTCAGGAGCAGAGGCTTCCTTTGCGCGAGCCCACCCGGCCGCCGTAGCCGCAACCTCCTGATTGGGCCGGGCCACCTGCAGCACGGCAAGCTGCGGCCTCGACGATTGGGCCAGGGGTGGGCACATGACGGTAACTAACCAATCAGGGCCCAGCGACGTCTATTTAAGGCGGAGCGGCCGCGACTCGGGCATCGGGTGCTTAGCCGGGTGTGCGCGCGCGTCCTGTCCGCTCTTCTTTCTCCGTCTCCCGCGAGCGCTGCCTCTGACGAGGGTCCCGAACGGGGGCGCGCGGGCGGGAGGCCCGGGACGCGAGTCCGAGACTGGCGCGGGGGTCGTTGCGGGTGTCCGGGCGATGAGGCGGCCTGTCGGTCCGGGGACCTGACTCGCTAGGCACGGAAAGCGCGGTCGTGCGGCCCCGCGGGGACAGGACAGGGACGCGGCCCGGGAGGGCGCGCAGGCGCTGCGGGCTGGAGGGCGGGGTCACGACGGTTTCTGCAGGGAAACCCGGGTCGCGGGGCCGCACCCACCCCGCAGGGAAACCGGATCGCGGGGCCGCACCCACCCCGCAGGGAAACCGGATCGCGGGGCCGCACCCACCCCGCAGGGAAACCCGGGTCGCGGGGCCGCACCCACCCCGCAGGGAAGCCCGGGTCGCGGGGCCGCACCCACCCCGCAGGGAAACCCGGTCCCCATCCGAGGGCAGCCACTAACCCCCTTGGTCTCTGTACATTTACTTATGTCACATGGAACATACTTAAACTAAGACATTATTCTTTGTTCAAGTTTAAATGCGTGTCTTGTATTTTTATTTGCTAAATGTGGCCCCTCGCAGGGGAGTTTCCAGTCACCCTCACGCAGGGAGGGCAACCCTGAAAGTGGCCCGATCCCAGCATGGTCTGCCCGGAGGCTGGGCCCCACCCGGACACCACCTCCAGATCTCCAGGAGCGGAATTCCGGAATTCCAGGCGGGTCCGGGGAGGCTCCTGGGGGCTGCCCTGGGGGGCCCTCTGCACAGGAATCTGGGGGCAGTGCTGGGACAGAGACTATCAGGGTGATTTTAGGCCTAACAGGTTCGGAAGATCTTTTTGTGACCGTTCGTCTTCTGAAATTTCCCTCTTTCATACTTTCTACCTGTCCCAGTATATTTAAAGACAGTTCTATTTGCTTCTTTTTTTTTTTTTAATGTTTTGTTTATTTTTGAGAGTCAGAGATCATGAGTGAGAGAAGGCCAGAGAGAGAGGGAGACACAGAATCTGAAACAGGCTCCAGGCTCCGGGCTGTCAGCACAGAGCCCGACGCAGGGCTCGAACCCACGAGCTATGAGATCATGACCTGAGCTGAACTCAGACGCCCAACCGACTGAGCCCCCAGGCACCCCTGTTTGCTTGTTTCTTAAAACACTTCAGTTTTGTTGTTTTTAAACCTTCCCCACAATGAACACCAGCGGTCTTCTCTGTGAGCAGCTGTGCTCCTCCTTTCTTTCACCCAACAGGCCCCCTGGGGGACTGTGCTTGGTGCCTCCCCTCCCTGGCCCTGTAGCAGAAGAGTAAACTGAGGCTGGGGGGTGGGGGGCTTCCCCATGCCCACCAGAAAGTAAGGCAGGCTCTGCCAGTTTCTTTCTTATCCCGAGGGTCAAGTTCACCACACACCTGGGGTCATTGAATAAAATCGTGACTCCCAAGTGTACGGCCTTCTCTTGTTTCAGTTGTTTATATTGCACTCTTCTTCATTCCCTGGCTCCATAGGCAACCCTGCAGATGTGTTTTGTGTGCGTGTGGGTTTTTTTTTTTTTCCACATCAAGGGATTACAGATTTAAATTTTTTTAATGTTTGTTTATTTTTGTGAGAGAGAGAGAGAGAGAGCTCAGGAGCACAAGCACAAGTTGGGGAGGGTCAGAGAGAGGGAGACACAGAATCCAAAGCAGGCTCCAGGCCCTGAGCTGTCAGCACAGAGCCTGAGGCAGGGCTTGAACCCACGAACGGTGAGATCATGACCTGACCTGAAGTTGGATGCTTACCCGACTGAGCCACCTAGGCGCCCCAAGGAATTTTAGATTTAAATACTCATTAAAATTATTAGCAAAACTAAGAATAACAGGGAAGATCTTCAACTTGTAACAATCAGGAGCCTATTGCAAATATCTTATTTTTCTTTTTCTTCATAAAAAACGTTTAAAGTTTATTATTTTCAGAGAGAGAAGGAGAGCGCATGTGAGCGAGCAAGCGGAGGAGAAGCAGAGACAGAATCCCAAGCAGGCTCCACTCTGTCAGGGCAGAGCCTGGCACAGGGCTGGAACCCACCAACCTCCAGAGCATGACCTGAACTGAGATCGAGAGTCCCACACCTAACTGACTGAGCCACCCAGGTGCCCCTTTTCTCTTCTTTTTACATTGTTTTATGTTTACTTACTTTTGAGACAGAGTGCGAGTGGGGGAGGGGCAGAGAGAGGGAGACACAGAATCTGAAGCAGCTCCAAGCTCCCAGCCGTCAGCACAGAGCCCGATGTAGGTGGGGCTCGAACTCAAGAACCACGAGATCGTGACCTGAGCCGAAGTTGAATGCTTAACCAACTAAGCCACCCAGGCGCCCCCCCATTCTTTTCTTTTTAAATCAGCTTTTTATTTTAGTGCAGGTTTAGATTTACAGAAAAGTACGAAGATAGTACAGAATTCCCACTCACCCCCATCTTCATAACTCATGAACCAATGTTGAAAAATTAACATCCTATACAAGTTTTCTTAGTTTTTACCAATGTCTTTTTACTGTACCAGACCCCGCATTACATTTAGGTGTCACATCTCCCCAGGCGCCTCTTGGATGTGACGCGTCTCCGGCTTTCCTGGCTTCAGGCGACCCAGCCGTTCTGGGAGGTGCTGGGCAGAGGTTTGGAGACTGTCCCTCTGTTGGAAAGTGTCTGATGTTTTTCTCATTCTTAGTCTGGCCTCGTGGGTCTGGGGAGAAGACCGCAGACAAAGTGCCCTTCTCATTACCTCACCTCAGGGGTCCGTGCTCTCAACGTGGCACCTCACCACGGATGCGACCTTGACCACCTGGCTGAGGTGTGTTTCTCCTCTCTTGTGTCCTCTGCTATCTGGGGAGGGCCTTGTGGGGCCCACACTGTCAGGGCAGGGACAGCGGAGCCTCTATACATGTTACTCTGATTCTTGTGCACAGATTTGTCTCTTCTCCCCATTTATGTGCTTATTCAGTCATTTTATGTCAGTGTGGACTCATAAGTACCTGTTGATTCCAACTGTTATTTATTTTGTTGCAGAAATCATTCCAGCTTTAGCAATTGGGGTTTCCTTCAGCTTGTGTTCCGCTCACATAACCCCCCTCTTGTGGGATTTTTTTAAGCTTATTTATTTTATTTTGAGAGGAGGATGCAGGGGAGGGGCAGAGAGAGAGGGAGAGAGAATCCCAAGCAGGCTCCTCGCTGTCAGCGAAGAGCCCGGTGTGGGGCTTGAACCCACGAACTGTGAGCTCACAACCTGAGCCCAAACCAAAAGTCAGATGCTTAACCGACTGAGCCACCCTTGCGCCCCAGTTTTGTTTTGTTTTTGAGCACTTTTTTACCTTCGAGCTGTGTTAGCGGGGAATACCACAACCAAGTGCCGCAGCCTGGGGCCTTCAACAACAGACAGTTACTCCTCACAGCTCTGGGGGCTGGGAGTCCAAGATCAAGGTGCCAGCAGAGCTCGTCTCCCCTGAGGCCCCTCCCCGTGGCTTGCAGACAGCTGCCTTCTCCTGTGTCCTGGCGTGGCCTTCCTCTGTGCTCTCGTCCCTGGTGTCCCTTCCTCTTCCTGCAAGGACACGTGTCCCATTGGATCAGGGTGTACCCTTGTGATCTCATTTAACCTTATTTACCTCCTGAGAGGCCCCACCGCTAAGTACAGTCACATTGAGGGCTAGGGTTTCACCTATGAAATTTTTTCTTGGCCAGGGGAACACACTTCAGTCCATAACATTAGCACTACAGGATGCCCCAGAGTCATCTTTTTTAAAATGTCTATTTATTTTCGAGAAGGGAGGAGGGGCAGAGGGGGGAGCTGAAGTGGGTTCTGTGCTTACAGCAGCGAGTCCGGTGTCAGGCCTGAACTCACAAGCCATGAGATCATGACCTGAGCTGAAGTCAGATGCTTAACTGACTGAGCCACCCAGGCGCCCCCCTCCCCCGCCCCACCATCGTCTTGTCCGTGCAATGTCCCGGCCCTCAAATCAGCCATTTCCCTAAGTAGCCCTCGTTTCTTTTCTTGGAGAATGGTACGAGGAACCACGATGGCTCAAACCAAGATGGTGTTGGGTGTGCCTGTTGCGACTTGGCATCATTGCTTCTCTGCCGTCAGAAGCAAGGAGATGTGCATGTGTGTGCCCTGACCCGTGTATGTATGCACATCTACATATTTCCACAATTCCTTGTAAATGTCTGTATTAAGCATGAGTTTCACGTCTAACCCCACCACATGGATCAGTCCACCCTGCCCCTTGCTAATGTGCCAGCCCCCACCCCAACAGTGGGAGACTCGGCTCCCAGCCCCCACTCCCCTCCACTCAGTCACTCAATCCCAGTGCATTTGGGAACCGCTGACGAGCGCCCAGCGGGAAACAACTTTACCGACTACAGTGCAGGGCTTGTGACATTCCTTCTGCCCTGAGTCTTAGGGACCCCACTCGTTTCCACGGTGACCTGAGTCGGCACCCCCGCTGGCGCAGTCTCCCCACCCCCACAGACAGGTGGTTTCAGGCATTGGGAATGCAGCCGAATTCCTTAATTCCTTTGTCATTCCACCCTGAGATCCCCATTCCTACAATTCTCTCATACAGCGAGGCTCAGTCCTTGTGCTGTGTGGTCTATGGGTTTTAACTAATGAATATGTTTACCTGTCCGCGTAACGGTATTGCACAGAACCTGCCCTGAGAATCCCTGTGCACGCCTATTCATTACCCCTCCCCTTCCACCCTTGACAACCCCTGATCTTCTCACCGTCTCCACAGCTTTGCTTTTTCCAGAATGTCCAATAAAGGGAAGCTCACAGTGTGCAGCCCCTGCCAACTTCGTTCACGTAGCAACAGTTCGTTTGCGATCCATCCAGGCCTGAGTGTGTCTCGACAGTTACTCCTTATTGCTGAGCAACATTCCACCGCATGAATGTTCCAGCTTGTCTACCAGTTCACCTACTGAAGAACGTCTTGGTGACCTTTGTTGTGGAACAATTATGAAAACAACCTACTGTAAACATTAGTGTGAAGGTTTTTGTGTGGACATAAATTTTTAACTCCTTTGGGTAAATACCTATGAGCACATCTCAATTCAACAAATATTTATCTCTCACGATTATGGAGGCTGGACGTCCAAGGTCAAGGTGCTGGCGGGCCGTGTCTGATGGGAGCCCAGTGCCTGACACACAGGCTGCCGTCTTCTTGCTGTGTCCTCAAGTGGCATGGCGGGGAGCAGAGAGCGAGCCGGCTGTGAGGCATCCTCGCGTGAGGGCCCGGATCCCAGCAGGGGCTCAGCCCTCAAGGCGGCAGTACCTCCCAGGGCGCCCCCCTCCTAACGCTATCACATTGGCATTTGGGGTCTCAACATGGGAACGGTGAAGTGGGGGGGGTGGAGGCACTAACAGTCAGTTGCGCAGCGTGATTGCTGGGTCACGTGGCGTCTGGGACTGTGTGAACATCAGCACCACCCGGTGGCTTGTCCCGGGCACGATCCCGGGTGCAACCTCCACCACGGGGAGGAAGTGCTCTTCTATTCCTATTGTGCTAAGAGCTTCTTAATCAGTAACAAAATATGTATCCAATACAAGTATCAAAGGCTTTTCTGTAGCCTCTGAGTTAACCGCAGGACCTTCTTCAGTCTGTTAATGGAATGGATTGCTCTGATATGGTGTCATAAGAAACCAGAGACACTCAGGAGAGGTCTATTCCTCACTTGTCATTGAATCTGGTTACGCGTACCTACGTTCCTCAAGGAAGCGTCTCCTGTGTTTTCTTTTTGTTTGTCCTTGTGTGGGTAGGAGCCACGGCCGGCCCCCCTTGCCTCTTTCCCACTATCTGGAACGTTTTGTCCAGGACGGGAAGTAGGGGTTTCTGGAATCACAGAAGGACCCACGCAGCCAGCCGCCGGGACTCTGGGCTGCGGAGGGAAGGACTCCCACAACTGCGTTTTGGTCTCTTCCTGTTCTTCCTTTTGCCCTTTTTTTGTTGTTTTAGATTTTTCCAGGAATCTGTCTACCTCGTTTAGGTTTTTCAGTTTTACTCCTGTTGAGATGTTTCCAATTGTGTTACTTTTAAGTCTACGTTGTGTCTGTTCTTTGCCCTCCTGCATGTTTTATTTGCACTGTGTTTTCCCTTCCTTCCGCCCCCGACGCCTTCATGTGATTCTTGTCAATGAACCAGAAATGGTTTTGTCCATCTTTTCCTCCCTCCCTCCTCCACTGATTTCTGACCTTTTAAATTTCTTCTTTTACTTTCTTCTGAGGGGAGGAGTTTTCTGGTGGGGGGTTGATCTCAATTAAACTGCGTTTCTGGAATCCATTAGTTGCAGCAGAGCCCCGCTGCCTTTACCACCTTCACCCCTTTCTCGATGTCACCGCAGTCATCTCTGAGGAGCACGACAGATGACCTTTCCAGGGCTCTAGCTGCCCGCACAGCTGCCTCCTCCACCTGCGTCCTGTGCCCCCAGGCAGGTTTTGTCTGCTCCCAGGCTCACCTCAACTTGACCCCAGTACCCTCAGCCCCTGCCCTAGTGCCCAGGGCACCGCCCAGAGGAAGCATGCTGACAGCTGGCCAGAGTCACCCAACCCCACCACCCTCTGCCCACTGAGCTGGTGGGGTGTCCTGGCTGGAGGAGACCGCTGCGGGGTGAGGGGGGGTCCCTTTTTCTTCAGAGGCCCCGGCTCCCACTCTTCCAGGGGCTTCCCCATGGGGCCTTTGGGGAGGGGACAGGGCCCTAAGCCTGCCGGGGTGGACAGCCCTGTGAGGCCTCAGGGGAAGGGGTGCCTCGCTGGGCGGCACGTGCAGAGGCCCTGCTCCGCGGGACAGGTGGAGCTGGAGAAGCTGGGCCCAGTGACTCACTGCCCAGTCTCGTGGCCCAGCGGGAGCTGCAGAGGTGCGCAGGTGACCAAGGGCGTGAGCGGGACCCTGCATGCCAGACCCGAACTCTCTCAGCCAGCCTGGCTGCAGGGCCCACGGTGGGCCACGAGAGAGGTGAGGCCTCCCTGGGGCTGGGGACAGGCACGACCCCCTCGGCCTCGCCCTGGCAGGTGAGCAGCCCGGTCCATGAGCCAGGGAAAGCCGGGGTCACCCTGACTCCCTTCGGGCCAGGCCAGAACCACAGACGCTCCAGTCGTGTGGGCCTCACCCCCCACCTGCAGGCGGCTGCCCCGGCACCTGGGAAGGCTCCTACAGCCCCGCCTGTCTTCAGGGCCTCCGGAAGGGGCTCTCTGGGGAGCAGGTCTAGACCCCACCCGACCTGGCAGGAGATGATGATGGACAGAGGCCCGCAGGGCTTGGGGGTTGGGCCAGGGCCATTATCCCTGAAGGAGGAAGGGGAGAAGGGATGGGGTGAGGTGACACTTAAGGAGGGGCTGGGCAGTGTCACCAACCGGGGTGCAGGGCAGGGTTAGAGGGCAAAGGGGAGCCACCCTTGGGCTCCGGAAGAGCTGCAGGGGCCAGCTTCCCAGCTTGGAACAAGGTGTGGGGCCACTCTGGGGCCTCCTGAGTCCTCAGGCAGTGGGTGACAGCAGGGCCAGCCCCCAAACACCTACTGTTTTGGGGCCACCTGAGCCGGGCTGGGGACCAGCTCCGTGAGACTGGGAGGAACACAGGGGGCAGGAGCTTGGGTTTGGAGGTCAGGGTCAGCGATCTTTCACGGCGAGGCCCTGCCCCGCCCTCTCTGCTGGAGGAGCGGTGAGGTGCCAGCAGGCCAGCACCTCTGCCCGTCCACTCCGAATGCTGTGGCCCTACTGTGCGCAGGCCCTCTGCCCTCCTGGGAGGCCCGGCATGGGGGTGAGGGCGCCCCTGAGCTGGGCAACCTGGTGACACCAGAGACCAGAGACCCCCGCCGTGCGTAGCTCAGGTGGCCAGTGGCCTCGTGGCTCCCAGCAGGCGGGGGAAGGTCCACGTGTCCAGTTATGGGACATGCATGGCCCGCAGCTCCAAGGCTCAGGACTCCAAATGTCAGATCTGGACAGCTCCATTTGGGAAGTGCAGCCCCCGCCTCGCAGAGGGACAGGTGACACTCGCACTGTGGACCTTCTTCTCTGCACGAGGAGCCCTTCCGCCCACCTGGGCTCCTCGGGCTCACACCCTCACCTGACGGAGGTAAAGAACCGTTTAGGAGTCAGGCTCACCTCGGCCTCCATCAAGTGGACAGGGAAGCTGATCAGGCGTGGCTCGGTCTAGGGCACAGTCTCCATCTTGGTCCCACCGATGCTTGGGGCTGGATCATTGTCTGGGGGGTGGGGGGGCTACCCTGTGCTCTGTACGATGTCGACCAGCGTCCCTGATCTCCATCCTCCAGGTGCCAGTAAGCCTCGAACTGTGACAATCGGATTTTGCCAGATGCCCCCCCCCAATCCTACCCCAGCCCAGTGGGGACCCCCTGGTCTCCAGCAGGCCTGCCCAAGAGAACTTGCCAGAATGACAGAAATGCTTTGTTCTGTGCTATCCAATCCAGGTACCCACCGAGCATGGCTGGTGAGACCAAGGAGGTGGACTTGTTTCATTTTAATGAACTTGACCAGCCATGTGCGGTTGGTGCCTGCTGTCGGAGAAAACGCCAGCCATGGCTGGCACCCCAGCCAGACCCGGGCCTCAGTCCCTGCTGTGCCTGCCCTGGGCTGATCCTGGGAGGCTGGGTGGGGTCATGAACTGGCGGTGTGGGCCCGGGCTACCCGCGTCTGCTCACCCGCAGCGGGACCCGCTCAGGGCACCTGGGACCTGCTCCTCCCGGGCCCTCCTGGGCGTCTGTCCAGCCGGGGCCCAGGGGAGCCCAGCATTTCCCAAAGTTTCCTCATGGGCGCCCGCACACTGACTGTGTGGAACACGTGCACGCACACAGCCTCTCACCCCAGGGGACCCCTCAGCTCCCACCGCAGACCTTCCCTGCTGCCACCCCTACCCCGGGCCGAAGTCGCTCCTTCAGGTCTCTGGGAAAGGTCATGGAAGCTGCTGGAAGCTATAAACCACAGCCTGTGGCTGCCTGGCGCTCCTAGTGCAGTTGGTAAGTGCAGTCCTCTGTACAACAGCTGGTCCCTCCTCGGGCCCTCAGACAGGGACCCAGTAGGCGAATTTTATTAATTAAATGAGGGTAATCATCAGTGCTGGGCCCAGGTCCAGGCGAGGGATGGACAGGGGTCCTGCCTCGCCCCCCGGGTCTGAGCAGGGGCGGCTGTCAGGCTCGAGCACCATCAGCCGCCGGGGCCGCCCGCGTGGTGCTTCGTGTCCCCAGTGAACGGCAGCCGTGTGCACAGCCAGTGCTGACGCGGCCCTTACTCGGCTCCGGGCGCTCTTCTAAACCGCGCGTGTGGTAGCGCGGTCACAGCCCGCCGCACCCCAGCGGCTTGTGTCTTCACAGACGAGAAAGGAGAGGCACAGGGCGGGCGACCTGCCGCCCGAGTCTGCACAGCCGCTGTCGGAGCAGGAACTGGACTTGGGCCCGGCCTCCAAGCGCGGCCTCCCCGCCTCGGCCTTGAACGGCGGCGGCTCCTCTGCTCCTGTTCAGTCGGCTGCCACTCACGCGCCGGGCACGACTCAGAATCACGCCCGGGGAGAGGGGACACAGGGGGGGCTGAGTGGAGCAAAGGTCAGCCACAAAAACCTTACCGTGGAAGGGGCAGTGCGTGCCAAGGCCCTGGGGCAAGAGACACTGATGTCTCTGGGAACAGCAAGTCATTCCTGGGGAGGCGGGGCGCGGGGAGGACCATCCAAACCCCGGCAAAGAACCCAAGTTCAGTCCCCAGGGCTAATCTGGGTTATTTTAAGGTAAAATCCGTATAGCAGAAAATTCACCGTTCTAACCATGTCAAAGTGTACAGTTAAGTGGCTTTTTATACATCCATGAAGTCACACAATCACAACCTCTACCTAGTCCTGAAATGTCTTCCTCATCCCGGAGAAGGGGCAGACCCCCTGCCCGTCAGCAGTCTCTCCCGGGCCTCCTCCCCAGCCCCCAACCGACTCCCTGCCTCTTCCGGACATTTCCTACAAACAGAACCCTACACCATGTGGCCCTCTGAGTCTGGCTTCTGTCACTCAGTGCAGCGTCTTCACGGTTCAATCATCCCATCGCACGGAGCGACCACACTGTTTCGCCACTTGTCCGGGACGGACCCCCCGCGCGCTGGTCTTACCTGCGGCAGCGCCCGCCGGGGACCGGGAGTCCTCAACAGAGTCTGTGGCCGGGCCGTAGTCACTGGGCGGCAGGGGAGACCTCACGTGTCACCGAGAGGGTGTGAACGAGGGCACGTGCCCTGGCAGCACGGAGCTTCGGAGAAGCTCCCTCCTCACCCCCCACTCCCCACAAGACGAAATCTCCCGAAAGATTCTACTCCCCTCAGTCTCTGCCTCCAGCTTCCAGTTTCTTAAGAAGCCCTCAGTGCTCCTTTCCACGTCGAGAGTCTTTATTTAGCACTTACTTTCCCCAGTTCCAGAGAGATGGCCATTCCTATCTCTCACTACATGTCAACAGGCATGCAAGTGTACATACACACGCAATGTGTGCACGCACATATATGTGTGCGCACGCACTCGCGTGGATATACGCACCTGTGTGCATACACGTGCACAGTGTGAACTCACAAGTGCGTACATGCTTGCACACATACGTGTGCTGGTGCTTATCTGCATGGTGCATATCCGTGCGTGGATACACACACAGTGTGCTCTGCTCATATACACACAGGTGTGCACATGTGCACACATACAGACACAGTGGGGGCTGGCAGAGGACTCCATCCCTCTGCCGCCCTGTCCGGAGGTGGGGGTCAGTATCATTCTTGTTTTCCAAGAGGCCTCTCCGGGCCCCTCCTGGCTGGCCGGCCGCCGGGTCCCCGTCCCCCCTGCTCTGCCAGCAGGTGGCGCTCCTGCCGCCGCCTCTGGCAGCTCCTGCTCTCCCAAGTGCAGGGTTTGGTGGTGGAGGAGCCTCGGAAACTGTGGCCCCACTGGGGACAAGGTGATCACCCTGCCCTTGGGCTGGTGGCTGCGCTGGGCTCCCCTAAGCCAGCACCCTCCCCTCTCCGTGGTGCCGGTGCGCCCTCCTCCCGTCTAGGTCACAGAGTCAACACACAAACACAGAAATAGGACCCAGGCAGACAGCGCAGTCCTGGTGCCTCCGTAGGAAGTTCTTGCCGCCCAGGGTGAGGAAAGCACCCTCCCTCCCCCGCCTCCCCCCCGCCTCCCCTCGGCTCCCCCCCCGCCTCCCCCCCCCCCTCCCTCCATGGACTGCTCCATGGACTTTTATTCTTATTTGTTTCCTAAAACAAAATTTTTTAAAAAAGTGTAATGTTTTTTATTCATTTCTGAGAGAGAGAGACAGCGTGAGCAGGGGAGGGTCAGAGAGAGAGAGGGAGTCACAGACTGAAACAGGCTCCAGGCTCCGAGCTGGCTGTCAGCACAGAGCCCGATGTGGGGCCCGAACCCACGAACCGCGAGATCATGACCTGAGCCGAAGTCGGACGCTTAACCGACTGAGCCCCCCAGGCGCCCCTAAAAGAAATCTTTTAAATGTTTGAGAGAGAGAGAGAGACAGAGCACACGAGGAGAGGGGCAGAGAGAGGGAGACACAGGCTCCAGGCTCTAAGCTGTCAGCACAGAGCCCAACACGGGGCTTGAACTCCGGAACCACGAGATCGTGACCTGAGCCAAAGTTGGATGTTTAACTGGGTCCAGGTGCCCCTATTTATTTACTTTTTAAGTAGGCCTCATGCCCAGCACAGAGCCCAAAATGGGGCTTGAACTCGTGACCCTGAGATCAAAATCTGAGCTGAGATCAAGAGTCAGACACTTAACCACTGAGCCACCCAGGCACCCTAGTCCATGGACTTTTTTTTTTTTTTTAGGTTTGGTAAAGTATACCTAACATACTATTTACTATTTTTACCATTAAATGTGCTGTCCAATGGCACTGAGCACATTCATTGTGTGCAGTCGTCACCACCGTCCATCTCCAGCGTCTTCTCAATGTCCCAAACTGAAACCCTGTCCCTACTAAATACTAACTCTCCCTCCTCTTCCCCAGCCCCATAACTTGCACCGAATTTTCTGTCCCCACAGGTTTGCATGCTCTGGGGACCTTATACAGTGAAATCACACAGTATTTGTCATCTTGTGTCTGGTAATTTCACTCGGCATCATGTCCTTGAGGCCCATCCATGCAGCCGGTGTCAGGATTTCATTCCCTTTTTGAGTTTTAATAATATTATGGGTAAATTACATTATATCAGTCCGTCCGTCCTCAGATATCTGGGCTGCTTCCATCTTCTGACTGTCCCATTATCTCTCGAACCTCTCCTTTTGTTGTTTTTTGTTAAAATCATACAGAGTATTTTAAATGGCAGCTGCCCTAGAAAATGTAGGCAGTTTAGCCAGACAGTCTGGACGTCAGCTTCTGCATCAAGCAACGATGATCTCTAAGGAACGACACTGGTCAGCGTTGCTATAGTCTGTCAACACGCAGCAGGAGCAGAAACAAGGAGACTCTTCGCCTCTGGGTGCTCACGTGGGAGCCAGGTGAGGAGGGTGGCTGCTGGGGTGACCTTCTCTCCCGAGGGTGAGCCTGGGGCACAGAGCTTCTCCTCAGTGACCCTGCGCTGCTCCAAGCTCTGGTCAAGGGGACCCATAGGTCCTCCCGATTCGTGCAAATGACTCTGTCCCCCCCGTCCCCATTAGTTAGCTCTAGGGTGTCATCCTTGGGCTCGCCAGTGACCTGTGACCTGGTGCAGAAAAAGAAATGACTGGCCAATTAGGACCAGCTGGTACCTTCTTTCCAGAAGCTGAGGAGGCACAGTAGAGAGGTCAGGGGAGCTCCGGGGGCAGGAGCCACCAGAAGCCACAGCACAGCGGCCAGAGGAGGCAGGAGAACTGGGCCGAGCGGCAGGACGTGGCGCAGAGCCACCATGAAGCGACCCCAGTCCCAGGGGAGGTACCCCGCCAGGAACTCAGGCGCATGCGCACACCAGCCCTCCTGTTTCCTGGGACCCCGGGGTCGCCAAGAGCCCACGGTGTGAGGCCACGGGCTGCGTCCCCACAGAGGCCAGGAAACACCAACCTCTGCCGCCTGGCCTCCCCGGCGAGTGAGAGCGCACAGCTTCTTCCCTCCTGGGGTGTGGGCGGCCGCTCTGCGGGCTCCCAGCGTCCTCTCCGGGTGCGGAAAACGTCAAGTTGACGGTGGTGACGGTTGTGTCCTAAACCCAGCGAATCGTACCCTCTAAATGCGTGAATTGAGCGGTCTGTGAACTGTCGACAGAGCTGCTCGCGCGCGCGCGCACGCACACACTCGCGCGCACACGCACTCACACACGCGCACTCTCACGCACACGCAGTCACACAGTCGCACTCTCGCACACGCACACACGCGCACACGCACTCGGGGATGCCCCGCAACCCCCCACCTCCGCGGACTGACTCGTCCTCCGGGGGCGTCCACCGCGGCCGGCGGCCGGCGGGCCCTGCTCCCCGCCGGGGCCTTCCGGCCTGCCCAGCACGTCGCAGGGAGTTCGGGGCACGCGAGCGGACCGCGACGTCGGCAGAGCGTCGAAAGCGCCGCGCCAGGTGCGGCGGGAGGTGTGCGCGCGCACGCGACCCTCCCCGCGCAGCGTCGCGCGGCGGGGGGCCGGGGGCGGGGCCTGCGGGGGGCGGGGCCTGACCGGAGAGGCGCCCCGCCCCTCCGTCCTTCGGGGGAGAGTTTCCCTCCGCGGCAGTTCCTGGTTAATGGGGCGCCTGACTTCGTTTCTGCGCAGGTCGTGACGTCACGGTTCCTGGGTGGGAGCCCCCGCGCCGAGGCTCACAGGCACTGCCCGGCCTGCTTGGGATGCTCTCTCTCGGCCCCTCCCCGGTCTCTCTCTCGTTCTCTTTCTCTCTCAAAACCAATAAACTATAAACAAACAAATGAAGACCCTCGGTAAGGGTGGAGGGGCTCCCCGCCCAGTTGGAACACACAAGGGGAGACCCGGGCATGAACGGGTTTTCGAGGGAGGAGGTAGCACAGGCCAGCGCTGGGACGGGGCCGGTGAAACCCAGCTGCAGGTGAGGCGCAGGGAGGCCGCCGGCTGCAAAGGCCCGGCCTGGGGGCTGGGCATTCGTCCGTGTGAGTCGTTCACGAAACCAGTGTTTATCGAGTGCCTACTATGTGCCGGGGCTGCCGGGTGTTGCCTGAGGTCAGTGTGAGCCGGGACACTGATAAGACCGTTCCCAGCAACAAGAACACACCTGTGCCAGCCCTCTCGTTCGCTGTGATACCCTTGGTCCTCTTGCTGACACCTTGAGGGAGGGTCTGGGGGCACTGACCTTGGCCCTTCTCAAGGCCGCATGACAAGTCAGTGGCAGAGCAGGATTAGACAGCAAGCAGCACGTGAGCAGAGACAGGAGTCTGGAGAAGCCATGCCGGCCGCACTCCGAGCTGCCCTGACCTCTGGAGGGAGCAGGTGGGGAAGCAGCCGTCACAGCGCAGTCGACAGGCCCCTGCCCTGCAAGGCGCCTTACGGATGGGAAAGTGAGAAGGCGCCCGGGGGACTCAGTCAGTGTCTGACTTGGTTTGGACTCAGGTCATGATCTCATGGTTCGTGTGTTTGAACCCCGCATCAGGCTCTGTGCTGACTGTGTCTCTCCCTCTTCCTCTCACTCTCTGCCCCTCTCCTGTTCACGCTGACTCTGTCTCTCTCAAAATAAATAAATAAACTCGGGGTGCCTGGGTGGCTCAGTCGGTTAAGCGTCTGGCTTTTGTTCGGGTCATGATCTCACGGTTCATAGGTTTCAGCCCCATGTTGGGCTCTGGGCTGATGGCCCAGAGCCTGGAGCCTGCTTTGGATTCTATGTCTCCCTCTCTCTCTGCCCCTCCCCTGCTTGCTCTGTCTCTAAGGAAAAAAAAAAAAGAGAGAAAGAGAGAAGAAAAGAAAAATAAACTTAAAAAGAAATGAGAAAGTGAGGACTACGTGGTGCTGGGGTAACCAGCCTCGGACCCTGGCACAGGCCCCTGGTAAGTGGCTCCTCAAAGCAGCTGCCTCTGCTCCCGTGCATGCCTCTCATGGGCGCTCCCCGTGATGACCGTGGAGTCAAACACAGCAAGGACTTTGGCCCCTCTGTTGGCTGATTATCCTGACCGGTTCCAGGCATAAGTGGGTGTAGTGGGCAGAACCCTGGAACCTGGGGAGGCCCAAAGAGTTGCAATCTCTTTTTGAGAGAGGACACTTAGTCCCCAGGATGGGACCGCAGGCCAGGGATCAGCCCCGAGGAAGCTAAAGGAGTGGCGCTCCGTACTTGCAGGTCTCTTGGTTTCCAGTTTGTACTCACGGCTTTTTCGGAGGCGGAACAGGGCACACCATTCATCAGGGAATTCTGCCAACAGGGCTATTTTTACTAGTTTGGTGAGTAAGACTGAGGAAGGAGGCTGACATGTAGCCTTGGGGCACCCCCAATTGCCCACCACTCACGAGCAGCTGAGCAAGGTTTAGCTGGTGGCGTCTCCTGTCTCCAAGCCCTGCTTCACATGCTCAGGAATTGACACCAGTCTCCCAACCTGACCCTCAACTACTTTCGGGCAGGGGCCGCACTCCTGAGACCGGGTGTTGGAGAGGGAGACCTGGGAGCGCTCCTTGCGCTCGCGCTGGCAGCACTGCTTTCTTCCTCCGCCCCCTGCTTCTCAGCTTGTGCTGCTATATACTATGGTCCTTCCTTTTCACCTGGGGCAGGACATGGGCCTCAAGAAGCAACGACCCGAAAGTCCTGCCTTCTTGGTGTGGGTGCCTCTCTGGAGGACTACCTTCCCACTGACCCGAATCAAGACTCCAGCTCTTTGAAGCCAGGTATCATTCTGAACTTTACCATTCTTCTACAAGGAAGAACATTCAGACCCAACATAAATTAGATAGAAAGGTTAATTCAGTCTCCAGGAAGATGGGACTCGGAGGCAGGCCGGCGGGCCCCACCCTTTGAAGCCGTGGAAGCAGGCTCCAGGCTTGGTGTGTAAACGCAAGCCACGGGCGGACGGCAGCAGCCTCACAGCGTGGGGGTGCACGACAGGACCAGGGGGTGGGGAATTGCGCAGTAGGCAATCGGACGCTCCGAGAGGCCCAGCACACCTGTGTCCTGCGTGTCCCAGAGCCTGGAGGGACCGCCCGGCCCCCTCTTTCCCTCGTAAAGAGCACTGCCTGGGGCCTGTCCCAGGTCTATTGCGGGGAGCGGGTGACTCCCAAGACACCTGCGAGGAGAAACGAAGCCCCAGCGCCAGCACGTGGAACAGGCCAGGCAGGGGTCCCCCTCGCTGCAGCAGGGGGGCAAAGGGAAAGGAAGGGACTGGCCGGGTGCCTGTCCCGGGGTCTCCAGGACGCGGGGGAGCGCAGGCCCTGGGCCAGGCTCGGCCCCGCCCCCTCCTCGCCGCCCGGAGGCCCGGCCCCGCCCCTCTGGCAGCGCGGTCCCGCCCCGCCGGGTTGCTAGGGGAAGTGACGTCACAGCGCGATGGCGGCGGCTCCTTCAGGCAGCTGAAGGGGGATTTAGGCCCGGAAGATCCAAGTCCATCCGCGGCGGGGAGAGGGAGAGCGGGGCCGGCGGGGGCCGGAGCAGGGACGGCGGCGCTCAGACTGTCCCATCCGCCCCGTATTGAGGCGCTGGGAGCAGCGGGGCGGCCGGAAAGCGATGGTGAAAGCGGGGCCGTGAGGGGGGCGGAGCCGGCAGCCCGACCCGCCGTAGCGGCAGCAGCGGCGCCGCCTCCCCGAGCTCAGACCCAGGAAGCGGCTGGGAGGGCAGGAGCGAGCCGGACCCGCCGCCGTCGCCACCATGGAGCTCAGAGTCGGAAACAGGTACCGGCTGGGCCGGAAGATCGGTAGCGGCTCCTTCGGAGACATCTATCTTGGTGAGGCACCCCTCCCCCCGAGCTCGGGCCGCCCTCGACCTGCGTCCGCCCGGCCCCCCCCAACCCCTCGGTCCCTGGCCTGGGATCCCGGACACCTCCGGATCCCGGACCTCGCCCCGAGGATCCCGAGGCCCAGGACCAGACCCCACCCCGGCCCTCGTCCAGCCCCCGCCCCGGGGACCCCACCCCAGTCCCCGCCCCCGCCCCAGCGTCTCCTCTCCGGCCTGCGGCTGTGATCAGGACCCTCCCCCCTCCGTCCGGTTCGTGCCCCCGCAGCTCCCCAGGCGGCTCTGGAGCGGCTGGAACTCTCGGCCTTCCGGTGGGGTCCCGCCCGTGCCCCCGGGGGCACCTGCCCAAACGTGCGTCCGTGGCCGCTGGGGAGTGGCCCCGAGTCCCGGCCCGAGACCCTGGCTTCTCGCTGCCGCCCGCCGGGTGTCCGCGCCTGGGTGTCCCCCGTAGGCAGACAAAGGCCGCCGGGCGGCTACGCGGCCCCCCGGGGTCCTGTGCACGTGGGGGTGGGCACGGCGAAAGTCCAGGGCCTCCGCGCCCCTTCGTGCCCTTTGCAACGACGCAGCCCTGGCCAGCCGGCTCCTCTGGGTTTGGACCTTGGGCCACTCGGCCGCGGCACGGAGCGCGGGGTCGCCCCGGTGGGTCGGGTTCTCTGCCTGGTGGAGTGGATGGTGGTGGAGTACATGTTGCGCATCCGAGTCCTGCACAGGGTACCCGGACATAAACCAGAGTGGGATTCAGGTGAGTGTAGACGAGTCGGTGTTAAGACGAGGCAAATAAAGTAGCGGAGCTCTCTGTGCTCCTGAGGTCGTTCTTTGGGCTGTTAAAATTCTCAAGGTAGATTTGAAAACGTGTGGGATTAGAAAGTTCTGGATCACTTCAGATTTACAGTGGAGGAATCTGCACGTACAGGTGTAAAATAGAAGGTTGGCTTCATTCTTAAAGTGGGGAACTTAAAAGTGACTTTCCTGCATTTCTCAGGGGAAGCGTGTGTGATTCCAGGCCCCTAGATGTGGGGGAGGGGTGTGTGCAGAGGGGCGTTGCCAGGTTTGGGGTAAACACTTTCTGTTGATGTGCAGCCCCTGCCCTGGCCGGGTACCTGTCAGAGAGGGTCAGGCATGCTTTTCAGCAGGTGACCCCGTCTTTCTCGCTTGTCACCTGGAGAGGATGCACGCCTAGGTTGACAGTGTCAGGAGTCCACGCGCATATGTGGTTCATTACTGCTTGGGGTGCTTTCTGACCCCACAGGGCAGCCCTGTCCCATGCTGTGCATGCAGATGCTTTCGAGTCCATCTCACTTCCGCCTTACCGGCTGCCCTAGTCAAGTAGAAGGCCCTTTGGGGACCTTCCTCTCCAGCAGTTAGCCGGCTACATTGTCGCCAGTGTTCATTTAGGGACAATTGCTGGGTGAATGTAACCCGTTTGCATTATTTATAGAACAATACATTTTGGCCAGAGTTGTAACCTAGGACCTAGGAGCTCTACTGAAGTTGGTGCATTAGCCGCCCTAACCCGAGAAGTAGGTATTTTGAAACTTTGTGTCCTCTGGGTCACAGAGCCCTTGCCGCTGCTCTGTGCTTGGTGAAGCTGGGTTCAGACCAGCAGAGCTCACTTAGTGGGGAGCCCCGCCTGCTTACTCACCATGGTATTCCCTGGGTCTCACCCTGTGGGCCACGCCAGTAACACTTGATACACGGATGAGGCTGACCTGTCCTAGAAGGGTCTGTCCTCAGTCTCCTTCGTGTGTGTTCTAATGTGGATGGACTGCGCCTCTCATACCCTTGCTCCTAGCGCCCACAGTTGGAGTTAGTGCCTGGGGCTGGACACAACCAATGGTTCCCGCCAGCATTGGCTCTCAGCCCACCCAGGGGTCCGCTTGGGCTCAGTGCTTCTCTGCCAGCAAAGGATGAAGTGATCTCGGTGCGGGAATGAGATGCTGCTGGGAAGGCGGGTCTGAGGAATCCCACCGTCTGCTGTAGTTGGGGTCAAAGATGGCTGCGCCAAAGACCGTGGGGTGGATTGTGCCATCCTCCATTCGTAGTTCCTTCCTGTTGAGGTAACTGGCAAGGCGTCACTCAAGGAACTGGGTCCTCACGTCCCGAAAATCATTACGGGCCACGTGTTCTGGTGTGATGACAATTTAAGTCATTTCTAGTGCTGTCATTTTGCTATTGATCAGAACACTGTCGACTCCTCCCTGTAGGTTCGTCTTGTTGTTAGCCTGGCTGTGGGGTCTTGGATTTCCGCCTGGGACTTTCTGTGCTTTCAGATGTTTGAAACCGGGAGGAGGGGAGGCGGTCTCTGCGCTTGCTGGGATGTTGTGCTCACGCAGCGCTGCCAGTGCTCCGGTCCCTCCCCTTTAAGGAGGGGCGGGATCTTGGGGCTGTTTCCCAATGCCTGGCCTTAGAAAGTGTATGTACTTGGGCCACCCTGGACCCCAAAATGTGCAGCCCAATCCTCAGTCTACCTCTCCAAGCTTGCCAGATCCCAGAGGCTCTTGGGAAGGGTGGGCTGGAAAGGCCTCAGAGGCTGGTGCTGCTGGCGGGCCTGAGATGAAACCTTCCCAGTGCCGCATCCCCTTCAGCTTGCTGGAGGTGACGTTTGTGAGGATTGGATACCAGAAGCCCTTCCACTTGCTGGCCATGTGCCTCTTCTCCCTTTGCTAGCACCCGGGACCAGAGGGGAGCCGTGTTCTCGGTGTGACCAGCAGAGCTGCGGGACGAAGGGTGTGCGTGCAGGGCATGCTAGCGTCAGGCCGTGTTCTGTTCGGCCAGCATTCTCCACCGCGTTTGTCTTCTAAACCCCTCCCACCTCCTCACCCTGCCATTCCCAGTTGGTGGAATGGAAGTTGTCTTCCTGCCTGTGTTGGCCTTTGTATTCGATCCTGTCACTCTCATCAGTTTATCAGAAGAGGCCTCTCCTGCCCCGGGTGACACGGATGGGCTGTCAGTCTGACATCATCATGTACGGAAGCACGTCTTTAGAGCTCAAGCTGATTTGGCAGCCTCTGCGTACTTGATTTTCATGTGTTCCCTCTCACTTTCCTTTCTCTCCAGAAGCCCTGTGCAGGGATGTCTGTCAGACAGTGGAGGTTCCAGAGTGGCGGCTGGCCGGCCAGGAGACAAGACCAGTTGTCTCCACTGGCTGAGGCTTTCCTGGTCACCAGTCTGCGTTCCTTAGGGTGGTGGCTTGAGCTTGGGTGTCTCTAACGGGAAGCTGTGGTGCTGCATCGGCTGCCTTGTCAACATTTGCCCTGTGAGGGCGACCTTTGCCTGGCTGCCCAGAGGCCTCTCCCTATTTCTTCTTTGATAAGACCGTTCTCAGTGGGAGTTGGGCGTAAGGACAGCTGTCCCAGGACAGGCTCACGCTTGTGGTTAGGTTCACTTAATTTGTCATTCTGACTTGGCTCAACTTGAGACACGTAATTTTGTTTTCCTAGGACCACCATTAAGCCAAGTCCCAAGCCTGGAGAGGGGAAGTCTTGTCCCACTGGGTGGGGCTGTTTAGCTGCAAGAGGAGTTGAGGTTGTTTGGGAGAGGAGACTGCTTCCTGTAAACAGACACTGTGGATTGCCTGGTGAATCTGAAACCCAGTGCTCAGTGGGATCTCTTAAATTCTTGTTCCTTTTCTAGAAGTATTTCTAAAAATTTGTTGTGCTAAAGGACCAGGTTTTGTAATTTTCAATCCTTCAAAGACCAGTACTTCTGTGAAGTAAGACCAGAACGTTGCAGGATTGTCACTTTGCTGTGAGGGCTCCTCGGGGCCCCTCACTGCCTCGTATTGGTCCCTTCACAGCCTGGTGGTGGTTTGAGGACTAGACGTGGGGCAGTGCCACCAGTGGATCAGGGCTGTGGACTGGTGGACCTTGGTGTTGCCTGTGATGTTTGCTACCTGGAAAGCCCATAACTTGAAGCTGGACTGCTTAGTATTCCCCCCCCCCCGCCAATGGACGGAAACCTCACAAGGAGGCAGCAGAGTGTACGCTGCCCTCATGTTTATTTGCAGAGGCCAAGCCGAGCCTCTCTTTGGGTCATCAGACTCAGGGTGGCTTTGACAGTTGTGATCCTGGGGGAGGCTGGTTGTTTGCTGGTGTGACCCTGGGTGGCTCTATTGCCAGTGAGATCCTGGGGGAGGCTGGTTGTTCACTGGTGTGATCCTGGGGGAGGTTGGCTGGGTCTATTGCTGGTGTGATCCTGGGGGAGGCTGGTTGTTCACTGGTGTGATCCTGGGGGAGGCTGGCTGGGTCTATTGCGGGTGTGATCCTAGGGGAGGCTGGTTGTTCGCTGGTGTGATCCTGGGGGAGGCTGGTTGTTCACTGGTGTGATCCTGGGGGAGGCTGGCTGGGTCTATTGCTGGTGTGATCCTGGGGGAGGCTGGTTGTTCACTGGTGTGATCTTGGGGGAGGCTGTTTGTTCGCTGGTGTGATCCTAGGGGAGGCTGGTTGTTCGCTGGTGTGATCCTGGGGGAGGCTGGTTGTTCGCTGGTGTGATCCTGGAGGAAGGCTGACACCATCTTAGGAGGATGGGATTCATACTGTATTTCAGAGTCATCTATGGTCATTTGTCTCCAAGACTGTCAGTATTGTTGGGTTGATGGTCAGACGTTTGCATTATGTGCCACAACAGAGTGGAGCTAGAATGTTCTCTGCCTTCTTGAAGGTTTTAGTCTGGTAGGTAGCCTGTGTGGGTCCGGGCTGTCTTGTCATTGGATACCTGCCTTGTGGCAGTGGAGACAGCGCTGACGTGGTTGGAGGTGCAGGACCGCTCACTCCTCGGGGATCAGAGCTGCTGATGTAACCAGAGCGCTGAGTCATCCACTTCTCTGTCTCCTGGGCGGTCCTTGCAGGAACTCCCAGTGCATCTCCCATTTGCATGGTACGTTTTCGATGAGGTCCTTTCTCTTGTAATTGGATAGATGGTCGCAAATGTGGGAAGGAAGAACAGAGTGTATTACCTGTCTTCCTTCTGTTGCCCAAGAGTGTCTGGAATAGTAAATGAAGTTCTTAAATCTAGAAGGGTCACTTGCAGCGATCAGATGGTGGTGATTTCCATGGTTGGGAATCCAGCCCCACTAGCAGCCCTGCACTTCTTGCAGCCGTCTGAGCAGACGGGGAGGGGCTTTGGGGGGACTTGGGCCTTTACTGGACACATGAACAGCAGAAGGCAGCGTTCCTACAGGCCAGTCATCGTTTTAGTGCCGGCCGATCTTCTTCTGCTTTTGTCTGAGAATCTCAAAGGGCTTTGTAACTGGTAGTCCATTCCTCTGTGCAGCACTCTCGTGAGACAGACCGCACATCTTCCCACCAAACTCAGGCAGAGAGAGAGACGGAGTCACTCGAGGACTGGCCAAGTTGCTTTGTCTACCACCACAATCTCCTTGGGAAGGAAAGGTCCCAGGTCAATTGAACTGTTAGAACCAGTACAGATAAACAGATACTGGGAAGGATTTATGCTGTGGACCCCCTTGTCTGCAGAGGACACATTCCAGGACCCCCACGGGAAGCCTGAAACGGCAGACAGTACCGAACAGTACGCATTCCATGTTTTTCCTAGACGTACGCACCCACGATAACGTTTATGAGTTAAGTGTGGTAAGAGACTGCAGCAGCAGCTGGTGAGAAAATAGAGCAGTTAGCGCCGTACGTTGTGAACGAGGTCCTGGGATTGTGGTCTCAACATAGTCTTACCGAGCCGACTCCCCTTTCCCGGGATGCCGTGAGATAGAGAGCTGCCCGCGTGCGGAGACGGGGCAGGTGGGCGCTGTGGGCGGGTGACTGGGTCAGAGGAGGATCGTGGGTTTCCAGCCGCGGCCTGTCCCCTGCACGGAAGGGGACATGGGTACTTAGAAGGCACCTAGGGGCAAGCTGGATGTGTGCCGTGTGAGACTGTCTTTCTCGCCAGCTGAAGCCCCTTGAGGAAGCTTCCGCGGGCGCAGCTAGGGGCTGCAGTGCTGTCACACGTGCAGTCCCTCAACTAGAGTAGAGCAGAGAGAGAGAGCTTTTCTTTTTTTTAATTTTTATTTAAGTAATGTCTGCATCCAACGTGGGACTGGAACTTAGCGACACTGAGATTAAAAGTCACATGCTACTCTGACTGAGCCAGCCAGGCACCCCAGAGATAGAACACTTTTAGAGAAGAACTCTGATTTTGCCTTTAAACTCGTGGGTTGGTTATCAGGAGGTATTTGCAGATATTTTTGCCAGTTTTAGTGTAAAACTAACAAAAAGTATGTGACAGGTTCGTGTTGCGTAGGTGTAGTTTGGGCTCTGAGAACTAGTCCAACCTTCTTGTCTAGTGTGCATAGGAAATGCACAGTGATGTCCTGTTTCCCGGGAAGGGAGGGTTGCTAGGCTCCTTGGGGGAGCTGAGCCCTCTCGAGACGCGCCCTGAGTGTTTGGAGGGGTGTGTGGTTTGAAACCCAGTCTGGGGGGACTCAGCTGGGTGAGAGTTTGGTAAAAAGAAAGGCTTGCACCCGCCCACTTGTCCAGGCAGCATGGAGAACCGGGGAGCACACATAGTCGCCCTGGAGCCCCCCACTGCCTGGCCTCGGGTGGGTGAACGCAGGGGCCGACCAGCAGCTGGACAGAGAGGTTTGGGGCAGAAGAGATGGGAGTCCTGCAGGGAGACGTGCACGGGGCCGTCTCCACGTCTCCCGTGGACATGGTCAGAGTGGGGACCTACGCAGGCGGGGATGCGATGCTAAAGAAGACTGTTCTGTACGCATCAAGGATTTCTCTTTAAACAGCGAAAGTAATGACGATTTTCCACAGGGGTTTGTCAACCACCGACCCCGTCTCGTGGTAGAAAGTAGAGCAGAGAGTCTGTAGTGTGTGGTGGTATTGCATTAGGTCGTGGACACCGGAGTATTAATGTTTGTGATTTTCTTTTTTGCCAAGGTACGGACATTGCTGCAGGAGAAGAAGTTGCCATCAAGCTTGAATGTGTCAAAACCAAACACCCTCAGCTCCACATTGAGAGTAAAATCTACAAAATGATGCAGGGAGGAGGTATGCCCTTTACCTGTTTAAAAGAAAACCAGGTTGTATTCGATGAGGGACAAGGCGTCGTGAATCATAGCCTCTGGTTTATCTGGGAAAGGGAGGAGAATGGTCACGTGGCTTCCTTCGGACACAAAGAGGGCTACAGAGGGCCTCCCTCAATGTAAAGCATAATTTGGTGGTTTTCCATAGCTTTGGGTCAGCTAGTAGTGTCTTTGGACTCTGGGTTCGTGTCCAGAAAATTGTGATTTTTCAGACACACTCCTGATTGCTGGGTGTGCCACCTCAGTCACATGGTTCGCTCCCAGCTTTTGGGGAGTCGCTTCAGATGCTCCTGAGTGAAATGGAGTTTGAATTCAGTGACCTCTGTGGTTGCTTCCAACTCAGTTGCTGTCCCAACCCTATGAAACCTCCTTTCAGGCCTAAGGGTGCCCAGTGTCTGATTTCTGAGTCTTAACTTCTAGAATTCTCTGGACTTCAGAATAGTTTGGCTAATGGAGCAGGAGGGGATTTTACTGGAGTCTCAGTCCCAAAGATGCTGCAGCATTGGGAAGGACGTGCCTGTGCTCCACTCCGAGGAGCTCCCCTCGGGAGCAGGGCTCTGTGTGGGGGTGGGGGTGCTGTGTCCTCTTCGGAGACCCTTCACGGTGGACGCCTCTGCGGTCCTTTCATGCTTTGGGGTGTTCTTGGTGCTTTGTCAAATGAAAACTTGTCTTTAGAGTCTAAATTCACCTTTTTGATTCTACTCTGGCATCTTCCCTCCCTCCCCCCAAAGTGGTTTAATCTGTACTTGCTTTATGCAGCAGTGTCTCTTTAGCAGCAACACACACAGGCCCGCAGGACCCGTTGCAGATGGGGTCCTTTCTAGGGACCAGAGGAGGCGGTGGGCTCTCCACTGGCACTCCCGGGGTGAAAATGGCCCCCGTTGGCCTCAGGGCGTGGTCAGCAGAGGCCCCAGCTGGCGTATCTGCCCCCTGGCCACCCTCAGCGAGGGCGGGCTTCTCCGGCATCACAGGTGATCTACACCACTTATAAGGTGTTGATGAGAATGGGGTGACTCAGGATGTGGCCTTCATGGTTGGGGAGGGTCTGATGCTGGGGGTTGAATGTTAAGGAGCAGCATGTCTGTGAGCTGGAGAGCCAGAGGGCAGCAGGGAAGAAAACAGTTGGCTGATGCCCCAGATAGGAGTCCATTAAGGGGCTGAGATTGTAAACAGAAAAGAGCTCGTTTTGCTCAGCGTGGGGTTTCTCCATCCCTGCACCGCGGCCTCTTGTGAGATGAGGTGCCCAGGCCGCAGCCCCACAGCTCATTTTGAACCCTTGGCTTTAAGATTGGAAGGACCACCTGCTTTATTTCTCTTCCCGTATGCCTCCTCTAGGGTCCTAGACACCGGGGATCTTCTCCCCAGCTGGCCACCCCCCACATGTAGATCAGTTTTACTCCTTTTTTTTTTTTTTTTTAAGTTCATTTATCTTGAGAGTGTGTGTGAGAGCATGAATGGGGTGGAGGGCAGAGAGAGAGGGAGAGAGAATCCCAAGTAGGCTCCGTGCTGTCATTACAGAGCCCAGTGCGGGGCTCGATCTCACCAACCAAGAGATTATGACCTTGAGCTGATACTGAAAGTCAGATGCTTAATGTATTGAGCCACCAGGCTCTCCTACTTCTTTTCAAATGTGCACTTGGTAGATATTATCAAGATGTTTAAAAAAAAAAAAAAAAAAAGGTGTTAAAATGTCAGGTTATTTAAAAAATTAAAAAAAAATTTTTTTTTTTAATGTTTTATTTATTTCTGAGAGAGAGAGAGAGAGGGTGAGCAGGGCAGGGGCAGAGAGAGAAGGAGACACAGAATCCGAAGCAGCTCCAGGCTCCGAGCTGTCAGCACAGAGCCCGACGCGGGGCTCGAACCCACGAACTGTGAGATCATGACCTGAGCCGAAGTTGGATGCTCAACCGACTGAGCCCCCCAGGCGCCCCAAATGTCAGTTTTTGAAAACAGCTGATGTCCAGGAAAGCAGAGTGCACAATGCTGGTAGCGTTTTGTGGCTGTCCCCTGGCCGGGATGGAGCTCGGCCACAGAGAGCAGATGTGGGGACTGCTTTGCTGTCGGTTAGCCTTCTGCCGCCGCACGCGAGAGCACATCACCGTGCGTGGTGGAGGGACTGCAGGTGTCTCTGATGTGGCTCTTGTCACGTGCTTCTCACGCTGCGCTCCGGGTGTGCTTGCGCATGGTTGATACTGATGGCGTCACAGGACGGAGCTCAATGTGGAGAGGCTGCCTTGCGCCCTCTGGCTCGCTGTGCTGGGTCGTGGGGGCACTGCCTGGACGGTGGTGGTGGCGCTGTGCCTGGCTGGGGCAAGCTGCACCCAGGCAGTGGAGTCAGCCTCGCTTCCAGACAACAGTGCGTTTGCTGCCACCACACTCCTGTATGGTGGGTGTCCCCAGCCTCGTGCCCCGAATGCGGAAGCAGATAACCAGACCACCGCGGAGCTTCCCAGAGGACAGATTTGAAGCTGAGTGTTGTCGCACCCAGGCCACTGTCGCACAGCAGCTCTGCCTCCCTGGCAGGTGGCAGGCCAGGCTGTGCCCAGAGGCTTCCGCCTGCCGCAAACCTGATCGTGGTGATGGATTGAAAAGTTGGAATGGCAGAAATGAATCTTGATTAGCTGTGTTGGTGAATGACCTGGGTAGACACCAGGTTCTTCTCAAGATGCAGCGGACTGCCGGGCAGAACCTAGACATTAACTGCTCTTTCCCATCGTGCTGTCCCCAGAGTGGCTTCAGACCACTCCCTTCTTCAGTAACCTTTCAGCAGAGAACATATGTTTAGTCCCCAGCTGCTTCCGGTCAAGGCGTCGGGTGTGGGGTGTGGGCGTGAAGCCCTGGCCGGCAGTGAGGCTGGGTGAGCACCCCCGGCGCAGCAGAAGCGTGTGGCTTCCCCAGGGTCGCTTCTCCCATCCTCTGTGCGTCCGGTGTCCCGGCCACTTCCCGTGCTTCATTTTGGACAGTCACTCTTTATCAACAAACGTGTCACAGTAGCAGAGAGCACACGTAACGTGTGAGGACTGATGCTAAAGTTACGCCTGTACCTCCCACCTGCCTTGGCCCGGCGTGCTCCCCCCGTGCCACTGCCTCGTTTGTGCCTACATTTTCTCTCACCCCACAAGAAATTTGTTTTTAAAAATATAATGACCTTGTCTAGAAATGTTTGGCGGTTTTGTTTACAGTTGTGTTTGGTTTGAGTTGCTAAAAACATGGTGAAAATTTGTATTTGCGTTAATGTCGAATATTGGGACTTCTCACAGGTAGAAATGGAAGGCATTTACCTGTCCCTGTCCCCTGGCCTTTCACCCCATGCATATGCTCAGGGAGTTCTGGACCCCATCAGGTGTCGAGAACCACACCTAGCTACGGCAGGCGGCCCCTTTCCCATCCAGATGGCACGGGGGCGGGGGGGGGGGGCGGGCAGGTGCTGTTCGCTGCTGGGCTAGCCCCACTGGCCTTGCCCGCTCCTGCGTTGGCCCCAGCAGCAGCTTGTGTCTTCAGATTTCTGATCTTAGATGTGTAATGTCACAGAGTAACAGTCTGTTGGACAGGCAGTGGGGACTTTGATATGAATGGCTGTGTAGCTGATTGCTTCCTGGCGCCTCACTGCTCGGTTTCCAGTCTGCCCAGGACAAAGCAGGCTACATTTTCCGGCCAGGGTACTCTGAGAGCAAGGGCGCTCTGCTTTTACCGCATTTTATCTGCTCCCTGGTGCTGTGGTGATACGTGCTAGTGTCGACCACTGGTAGAAAAAGGTGCTGCCATCGCAGCACCTCATCAGTGTAAACGGGCTGTGACTTCTTGACACACGTCTTCCTAACATATGCAGGTTTTGAATATATGCAGTCCGATCGCTGTGTACCATCCTACGTTCCTCTGACCCTGCGTGTTCCCCAGACGCCCCCAAGCTGCCCTGCCGCAGCGGCAGGTGGCTGACCCTGGCTGCTGGCCAGTAATGTCATGTCTCTGTAAGCAGTTCTCTGTTGCGTCTGGCACCTTGCTCTTGGGGACAGTGCCTCGAGGGCACTCAGTCCCTGTTTCCTGAGAACGGGTTTGTGTTTCGTGGAGCAGGCAGACAGCTCGGCCTGCAGGATGGCGCCAGGTGCCGCACGTGCCCACAGGGACATGTTCCTAGGCAGTCGCTCATGCGGGGTCCCCTCCTGCAGGGACGTGTTCCTAGACGGTCGCTCGCGCGGGGTCCCCTCCTGCAGGGATGTGTTCCTAGACGGTCGCTTGCGCGGGGTCCCCTCCTGCCCAATGCCGCATGGTCTTTGGTCTCCCCTTCCCGTTTCTCTCTGACGTGGCATGGGGTATCCTCACTAGCACAGAAATCAAGGGAGACATTAAAGATTAAGGATGGGGAAGGAAGAAATAAAGCTTGTTATTTGTAAAAGAAACCCAAAAACAAATTAGAGGGGCACCTGGGTGGCTCGGTCAGTTAAGCATCTGACTTTGGCTCAGGTCATGATCTCACGGTTCATAGGTTTGAGCCCCGCCTTGGGCTCTGTGCTGACAGCTCAGAGCCTAGAAGCCTGTCTTCGATTCTGTGTCTCCCTCTCTCTGACCCTCCCCTGCTCACGTTGTCTCTTTCTCTCAGAAATAAATAAAAAATATTTAACATTAAAAAAAGAAAAAGACAAATTAGAGTTAGGCTCGGAAGCCAGCTTGCACTATAGGGCTTAGATTCAGTTCATTATCACTTGCAGTCAGTTATAAGATATAATGCTTTTTCCTACACGCCAGTAAGTCTTTTTATTCATCGTGTTTTCCCAGGGGGAGGGAAGGAGTCAGTGCCTGTGCTGTGCAAAGAGGGAGGTACTGGTGTGGCAAAACTATCACATCCCTACCCTCTAGGGATGGGGTCACTGAACCCTGGGGTCAGTGTTTCAGATCACTTGCCTGGTGCAGAGCCTTTTGTCAAATCCTCTGTTTTTCTCCCAATACAAAAAGAAGTTTGTAAACCAT